TTATTACTGTATAATATGGAACCATAATTGTGAAGTACCAGTACAATAAGTAACAAGCCTGCACGACCAATATTATGGTCAGGTACGGTGTCAGCGTCGGTCAGGTGTGCAAAAACAAATTTCACCTGAAAAATATTTTGTACTTGTTGGGCTGACTATTTGATGTCAATTCAAGTTCTCTTAAAGTTAAAAGAAAGAGATTGTTCCAGGGCGTAAAAAAGAAAAATACACCCCAGAATTGCTCGTGTAAGGCGTAGCTTGCAATTGTGAAATAACATACACATATGCGCTTACACGTTAACACCAGACGTGCATTCCTGTTTTATCGTGGTTAGTTTCAGACATCATGAATTTGGCTTTGAGTCCGTTCAGCAGTGCCATTATCCTGTTTGCATTTTCTCGTGCAAAGGTATTATTTACAAGTCTGGAAACCAAATTTTCCTCCCAACCTTTTGTTTTGCATTTTGAACGTTGTTCATGTTTTTTGAAAATTACAAAAAACTGTAACGAGTACCCTGTAGCGTGTTACAATTGTAACGAGTATTCACAGCCCTGGGCATACAACTCTAGAACAACACGAGTTTATGTATGTTGAGTGTTGTGGTGTTGACGCTTATGCAAACCGCTTTGTGACTGCGAATAAAATGTTGCGTATATTTGCATCTGTTGTTCCTTGTAACAATATTGGTTAACAATTTCACTAACCATGACGTTTATACGTCCATATCACATATGTTCTAAAAATTATGCGATCAGTACAAGATCCACATTACAAATGTAATCTTTAATCACCTTAGAAACAAGGTAAATGTGTATAATATCGGGAATTACCTTGTGAAGTCGCCATAATTGCAATTGCTTTTTAACCAGCGATATTTCCCGATCTACATATTTCTACAATCGTGACCTGAATGAGCCTACGGTCGTAAGAAAGCAGTGACACATCTGTCTAATTTGGCAGTTTTCTCAGTTTAGCAGTATTATAGGTATAATGTAACATGCCAACACTGGCGAACAAGACATTCTTGTCTCTGTGGCCTATAGCTTATTTCTCCCTATGTAAAGGAATCCGGATTCCGGAATCCAACAAAAATTTGCACTTTAGAATCCGGAATCCATGACATGGAATCCGAAATCCATGACATGGAATCCGGAATCCATTGACTTGGATCCGGAATCCATTATTTTAATCACGGAATACGGAATCCAGCTTTCATACTTTATAAAATATAATGGTTTTGTAGTGTGACACATCAAAACTTAACGTACGGTACGTGATCTCATTAAATTCATGCAATACAAGTATCCCCGCCTTATAAAATTTACATGAAGTGGTGTTTAATAATGAGAACAAACAAACTAACTCTGAATTATGCGCGTGGGCCCCACAGGAGCGGCCAAAATAGTCGAATCTTTAGTCCAATTACTGGTACGTCTGAAACAGTGACCGTTTACTGCTAGTTATAATGCACTTTTTTACTGCCAGGCAGAGAAGTGAGAGAACTTAAAGCGTAGATGCTGTGCCATGCATCAAGCATACTCTTGATAAACCAATTATTATTATATTATTTTTATTAGAATTTCCGTGAAATTGCTTTTTTAAGACACGTGAATTGGTGAAACAGCTTTTGTTTTTGTTGTGAAACGTGACCCTGATCCCCCCTTTTTTCCACCCTCAGTATCGTCCCTTTTATATCCCTTTGACATTTAAATATCATAAATATTTACCGTTACCGTTGTTCTCATGTATAATTTAATAGTACATATAGTAAAATATAAATAACCGATCATTGTCATTTTTGTCATCTTTAATATGAAGCTAGAGGTGAACCAGATTATTAAAAAGTCTGCAAATTGAGTGTATACTCAGTACTCAGGCGTTTCAAAAGTGCTTGTTATAGATGAGGACGCCGAAGGATCATTGTCACTTCAGCAATAGGGCTAAATCCACTCCAACAAGAAATTGCTAAATACGCAAATCTGTTTAGGCTTGATAAAAAGGCAGAGCAGTAGGAGTTATCTATAACAAACAACGACCACCTTAGAATTGAACAGGAAGTTGTTACCTTTTTTGCTAATCTACAGGACAAAGCTAGAGTTAGGACAGGGAAGCTAAATACAAACGGCCCAGATGTGGTCATACCGCGAACAACAAGACGATCTTTTGAAATTGTCTTAGACTTCCTCACCGGTCTACTAGCTAAACACGCTGATGGAGATTAGTCACGAGAAACTGGCCAACAAGATTCGCTTCACAAACCTGACAACATTAAGCGTAGAAAGTTTCTTTAAAGGTATGCGTTGCAGAATACTTATACAAGCGAGCTCGCTGTGTTGAAGATAGCATGCTTTGAATTTACCAGAAACACTTCAGCTACTTCACTAGCTCATATTCGTTTTATCCCGAGAAGATTATTAACGAAGAACCGCCAAATTTGTCTGGAAGGGCCAGCAAACAGTGGGGATGCCGAAGAAGACAAACGATTGAAAAGAAGCAGAGTGATGAAAGATTTTATCCAAGAACATGGAGAGGAGTTCGACAAATAAATGTCCGCTCAAAGACTAAGGAATTAACAGACAGGTACCTTGCCGTACACCCTGAGTATATGCGTCCGCAAGTCATCTCAAATCCATCAGACATACCCGATGTAACAACTGCGTGTTTTGTTGTCGATGGTGCACATGGAGGACAAACACAGACAACGCAAGAGTGCGTGTGGTCTATTTAAAAGATGATGTAAATGCTGTTAAACATAATCGTTGGAGAGAATTGTCCCCTTACCGTGCTGATGCAAAATATTTATGTCGAATTGGTTACTAGAAAATACATGCATGAGCAACGCTGTAAAATTTCAGTGGTTTAATCAAACATCAGATCCAATGATTTACACTTGCGGTGACATATCAATGGAAAGCTCTCCGAACTGCATCTTAGCAAATGTGGACAATTTCTTACTTGAAGACAGTTGAAATGTTATTTTATCTCCCAACGAAGACATCCGTTTGAATAGGCTTGTTAACAGGGATGATGATAGTGAAGATGAAGAAGAGGGGGAGCAGGAAAGAGTGTCTGCTGAACCACAAGAAACAGGACCATTATATAATTAAGACTTGAAGGAAAAAGCTCGTTAGGAAGAAGGACTATTCGTTTTATACTGCGTTAATGCTTCGTAATACTGACATTTAGTGTTTCTTGTTGTTACGTTGATGTAATAAGCTCTAATATCATGTTTCGTTTTTTAAAAGTGTTTGGAGGTTGCTGATGTACATGTATAAGACGATTGCATGTATGTTTACAGCAGTCGTTAGAAGTTTTAGGTCCTCTAATCTTACAAAATATAATAAAGCCTTATTTTGACGATGTTATGCAGGCTAGTTGTTGAAATCTTTATAATAAGTAAATATTAGTCAAGGAATCCACTGACTATTGTTAAGTAGGAATCCGGAATCCAAGGTTCAGGATCCGGAATCCGCGGATCAGGATCCGGAATCCACGAGCCAGGATCCGGAATCCGACACCATCTTGGATTCCTTTACATAGGGCGACTTATTGAAGCGAATAATCAGCTGATTTGGCTGTAAATGTCGAGGTAAATGTAATGTATACATATGCGCATATCGCGCAAATCCCGGGACCGCAATAATTGGCAACTACGCTGTTGCGGATTCTCTGCCACTGTAATATGCACAAGGCGAATTTAATAATGAGGGAGATTGACAACTCACAAGTGAGGATATCATATATCATATATCATTGTTTGAATAAAGTCTATATCATAGATATGATTTGTGGTTTTAATTAGTCAGATATAGTGTATATCCACTATTGAATTGTACAATAATATTAATAGAGTTTTGGAGCACAACGTGGTGTGAACAAACTTACAAGGACCTGTACCAACGAGGCTAACATGCATCGGCATGTTTTAAAACCTTGGATTTTGTTACCACGATTACATGTTAAAGGCGCTAATGACAAAGCCGGGAAAACTGGTATTTTTTACTAAATAGAATCACCGTGCAATATTGCAATGTAGCTACAAACATTTTTCTTGACTCTCCCGGTGATTACGATGCAGGCGAGGGAGATATCCCTGCCGAGGTTAGTACAACATTATCAAGTTGTTTACTATTGCCATGTTGGCGTTTTTGGCATGTAATGATACTGTGTATCTGGATAGCATTTGCTATTTACATACCGTACAGTTCGTGTAGTACAGCTGTAGTCTGTACCTCGATTTTAAGATTACATAATCATTTAACTTGCGGTAGTAACACAATGTTTTCCGCCCCATTCAACAGCTCACTGCAGCTTGTTTCCCAGTTCAACAGTTTAATAAAAGAATGCTAATTTTTAACTGGGTGCGGCGTTTTAGTAAAGCATCATATGCATTATTAGTATTAATAGCTGCTGTATTTCAAGCTGGACATGTATATTTATAACATTCGCCGAGTCGGCGTTTTAATAATTCTTCCGCAAGGTTGACCATTGGCATTGCCAAATTGTGCATTATCCGCCGAGTCGGCCTTATGACAATGCAATATGCCGTTTTGGTGACTAAGTTAGTCTACGGCTTGATCTCATATTGTACTCATACGAAGGGATCACCTAACATTTTTTCCGCAACGTTGACCATTGCCAAGTTTCATGTATTAAACTCCGTCGTTGCCTCTACTGCCATTGACGTGTTTTTAATATAAACTGCCGAACGGCAGGATATCATATTCATGTCTGACTGGACGGTATTTCTTCAACCTCTTGTAGCAAATGTTGCCTCTGCTGTCATTGACTGTACATACACGCCGAGTCCACGTGTTTATAATACAAGTGCCGATTCGGCAAGATCTCATGTTCAGGTCTGAAAACGGTGTTTCTTCGACCTTTATATATATTGCCGTTTCGGCGAGATCTTTCAGTGTGACAGATAGCCCTTGGTCCAGGCATTGTTGAAGAAGATAGGGTTGATAAATTTCAACCAACAGGCAAACATGGACTTTTCGTACTTGATGAAGTAATGTGCCAGCATCACTACATTGGGGCTGTGCGAAGTCCCGCCATATATTCCTGTAGTTGACGGTTGTATTAGCGCCGTGCGCAAGGTTACATTCGATTTTCGTTCGACATTTTTTCGTCTTATAACACCCATTGTTTTGTGATGAAAACCCCCTATATGGCGAGAGAACTTTACAAATACTATGTTAGAAACAATCACCTCGTGTATTTTAAGGCAGAAACTTAAAAATGTACTTACATATTGTCAATATTTTGTTCCCGCGAAATAAAACATGTGAACACCCTCGATCATTGCTTGCAAATTGAACACTCGATCTGCGCGCGCATATCTCACATGACTCCTTAGTGACGTAGTCCAATGACGAAATAGAATTTAAGTTATTTTACAGTTGTCTATGCGTTGAACAGAGAAATCGTGCAGATCACATATCTGTTTGTAGTTATGCTCTTTTGAGGAAGGCTTCTTATATTCAACGATCTTTCTAAGATCGCTTGTTGTGGTTTGAAGTCCATCTTTCTTGGTAAATTTCACGATTTTTTCAACCAGCTTACCTACTGTGCTTTCAGGTATATGATCGTGAACAACAAGGTGGAATTTCGTTCTCGATCGCGACCAATCAGCGCTTTTGTTTACATTTTTGCCCTAAGCCAATCAGAATGCGTAAAACGTTTCATCACATGAAATTTGTTAACAAACGTATGGGGTTACTTCAGAGCTTTTCTGCAAGCGGTTTTTTTTGTTTTTTGCCATGAAATTGATATATGTTGTTCTTAAAAGAATTCTCCTCAACTTCCACGTGGCGATTTTTGATTAATTGTATGATTGCGAAGATATGAGTCTTCAAACTTTGCCTTGCGCAAGCTTAAATACCACCCCTCGAATTTGTAGGTTCCGAACGGATTAGCGTTATTAAAAGCCTTTCAAATCGAGGCTTGAGAGGTTTTATTTTTTAAAAGATACTTTTATCTTCATATTTTCACATTAACTTATCAATATCCTGTGTAGCAAGTAAACAGGACACTTCCGGGGCCAGGACAAGTTGACATGTCGATTTCTTGCTAAACAGCGTGGCGATCAATATGGTTCGTATCTAAATACAGGGAATTTTTAAAATTTTGTTTGTATAAATGGCCTAAACAAACTCATCAAATATTTGGACTATGGACCTTCAAACTTATGCCAAGTATTTATTTGATTGATTAGCTCAATAACTGTTTCTAGGCTCGTTTTTCATCGATTTCGACATTTTGTCGACATCAGGATAATGTGTCAACATATTTGCGTGTTGCAGCCTGTGGACATGAATATTTTCGTTTGTTTGACCATAACACTTGTCTTCATTGTTTTTAATCCTTGATTGACAATATATTCATTGGTCTCAGAGTCCTAAACTTAAGGAATATGGATGACTTTTATGTTGCTGTTCAGGTATCAAAATTTATGGACATATATGAACTTAATTGTTTTTACTTCATCTGGCTCACTATAGTCACAATTGGGCCCTGTTCATATTACCTGGCTAGATGGCCTAAGGTGGGAGACGACATTTGCCAGTATGTCCTATCCTATCCTGCTACTATCGGCCTGGCTAAGCGTGAGGTTTCCATTGCCAGAATCATATCTATGTGTAAGCCAAGAAATTCACCATATACAATAAGCACTGTATTCCAAACAGGCAACATGATAGGCTTCAAGCATGTGTTCTGGATAGCCTAGATAATATAAACAGGTCCCCAATAGATCCCAAGACTATAATTGAAACATTTTAGTCCATAAATTTGTGCATTACCAGAATACTTGTACACAAATGAATATTTTGCACATATTATATATGCCCCCAGTAACAATATTAAGCCCCCAGTAACCTTACAAATAGGCCTCCCTTCCAAAAATCAGATTTCCCTTCTAAAAATAAGCTCTCCCTGTTAAGGCTCCCTCGTACCCAGGCGTCTCTTTGTAAAAAGACAGTGATATATGCATATGATGAGTTTACATGAAGTATTGTAGTGGGGAGAAATGGGCGAAGGGGCTAATGGGAAGAGTGCACTTGAACCATGCTTGACAGCCCCTTCGCGCATTGCATGCCTGAATACGTCATGTATAATTATTTAAAGCGCCTGGGTACGAGGCAGTTTCAGGGCTAGTTTGTCATTTGCCTCACAGGAGTCCGGCTAACCTGGCAAGTGTTGGCAAGAAATTTGTGTGAAATGCTGGTTAATTTGTTAATGGCAACAACTTCAGAAGGCTTATATTAAACAATTTCTTACTTACTTGGGCCAAATTGTGTATTATAACATGATTTTTAGTCGAGTGAGCTGGCCGGTTGGCCATCTTATGACCTTTATTAATGTGAGACACACAATGTAGGATATCAACTTGCTCAAGCAGATGCTGGGGCAATAAATTTAACCAGGCTGTTCAATGTGAATGCAATCTCAAACATATATAAAATTAGTATCCGAGGCAGCATCTTACCATGAGCAGGTGTATATTTAGCCCATATAAATGGACAAGACCAGCTAGCCCGGTGTGATGTTATACTACTGACAATACCTGGTTGATTCTACAAGCTATATTATGGCCGAAAATGTTCCAATTGTAGTTTCAGGATCTGTTAAGGGTCTGTTGATATGGGACCCTAAAGGCAAGTTCTTGTTGCTGGGTTGTGGGATAGAATGTTTACTGTAAATGGCGAATTTCTTGGCTTGCATAGTTGGCATTCTGGCAACGGATACCTCATGCCTAGCTAACCAGGATAGTAGCAGGATAGTATATTGACAATACTGGCAAATGTTGTCTCCTGCCCAGCCAGGTCATAAGAACACGCTCATTTGTGACTAGTGGGCCAGATTAAGGATGAAACAAATGCGGGTCCTATGGCTATACTATGACTAAATGTCCATGAATTTTGATATCAGAACAAAATTTCGATATCTGTCCCAAAGTTATCATGCATCTTCCTTAAGTTTAGGACTCTGAGACCAATGAATATATTGTCATTCAAGGATTAAAAACAATGAAGACAAGTGTTTTGGTCAAACAAACGAAAATATTCATGTCCACAGGCTGCAACACGCAATGTTGACACATTATTCTGAAGTCGACAAAATGTCGAAATCGACGAAAAACGAGCCAAAAAACAGTTATTGAGCTAATCAATTAAATAAATACTTGGCATAAGTTTGTAGGTCCATAGTCCAAAATATTTGATGAGTTTTTTTAGCCCATTTACAACAACACAATTTAAAAAATTCCCTGTATTTAGATACGAACCATATTGATCTAGAAAATAATGAACTTTTTTGCTGAATTATGCACTGTGACTTATTTCAGCACATTGAAATCATCCTGCCTCACATATATTCTGGCAAAGTCGAATCATATATACAGACCCTTATTCAGCAAATTGCGCATGCTGCTTTTTATCCTTTGGGGCGAGGCAGCATTTCCTTGCGATAGTAACTTCTAGTTTGTTTCTTTTCTCTGTTGTTGTCATGCAGGCTACTCACTCATGCAGGTGAATATCATGTTTGTAATGTTACTCTGAGTGTATACCCACACCGGGTAAGCTTGAGAAATATGCCTGGCCATGCATGGTGGGAATCGTATCGTTAGTGAATATATATATATATATATATATATATATATATATATATATATATATATATATATATATATATATATATATATATATATATATATATATATACTATACCTCAAATTAAAATTGTCCAATGAGAAAGCTAGATTTGTGCCATGTAGCAGGAAATTTCAGTCATATTCACCGGTGAATATGAGTCAATTCACCGGTGAATATGATTCGCGAACATCACGCGAGACCACACGCAAGGCTAAAAAATGGCGGGAACAATGTTGTTTGCTTGAAAGGCAAAAATGACAGAGTCTGACGAGGAAATAAATCGAATTCTCGACGAGAGACATGCAGAAAATACAAAAAAATCAACAAAAAATGCCGTAAAAACATTTTTGGAAACCGTGAGTGATGAATATATATTTGTTATTTATTTGTGTGGAAATAAAATTTGACAACAGCCTTGTAGTCTATGTGTTTGTATTCTGCAAACTCAAAAATCTTTTTCGGTATAATATATCATTTATAGACCCTCCGCTCGGGGGATTCGGCGAAATATTTCGCCCTCGGGAAATATCATCACTACGGGAAATATTTCGCCGAATCCCCCTCGCTCCGGGTCTATAAATGATAAATATATATATATATATATATATATATATATATATATATATATATATATATATATATATATATATATATATATATATATATCGGTTTTTGAGTTGTTTTCAGACGAGTGTATACCAAACTGGGCAAGCAGAAAATTATACTTGACCGCGGCTGGGATTCGAACCCTCGACCTTCGCATTTCTAGAACGATGCTCTACCGTCTGAGCTACAAGGTCAAGGTATATATATATATATATATATATATATATATATATATATATATATATATATATATATATATATATATATATATATATATATATATATATATATATGAATGTTGTGGTTTCCCACGTTGACGATTCCACTCGTATTACGTTATGTAGCGGTTTTTGAGTTGTTTTCAGACGAGTGTATACCAAACCGGGCAAGCAGAAAATTCTACTTGACCGCGGCTGGGATTCGAACCCGCTCCCTTCGCATTTCTAGAACGATTCTCCGTAGCGGAGTGTTTTATATGTGCTAAAACACGACTACAAGTGCTTTAAATAGTGCATATACATATATATATATATATATATATATATATATATATATATATATATATATATATATATATATATATATATATATATATATATATATATATATATATATATATTTAAAGCACTTGTAGTCGTGTTTTAGCACATATAAAACACTCCGCTACGCGTCGTGTTTTATGTGTGATAAAACACTCCTACAAGTGCTCTAAAAAGCTTCAAAAACGACTCATCTTCAGCTGTTGCTTGATGGATGAGTGCATGATGCTTGCTAGAGGTGGAGTTGTGGTTATTGGTGGGCGTGGTGGTGTGTGGTTGCTGGGTGGAGGTGGTACCCGTAGTGGTGGTTTGGGTGTGGCAGGTGATGGTCCCCTGTGTTGGTGGCGATG